CACAATTTACATTATTTGGACTATTGTTCTCATCTTTGTCGCCATATTTATCCGATGCTTCAGTATCTGTCTATATTTCTGAGATGTGGTATTATGTAGACTATTTACATTTTTCGGACTATTGTCCTCATCTTTGTCGCCATATTTATCCGATCCTTCAGTATCTGTCTATATTTCTGAGATGAGGTATTATGTACACTATTTACATTATTCGGACTATTGTCCTCATCTTTGTCGCCATATTTATCCAATGCTTCAGTATCTGTCTATATTTATGAGATGAGGTATTATGTACACTATTTACATTATTCGGACTATTGCCCTCATCTTTGTCGCCATATTTATCCGATCCTTCAGTATCTGTCTATATTTCTGAGATGAGGTATTATGTACACTATTTACATTATTCGGACTATTGTCCCTCATCTTTGTCGCCATATTTATCCGATCCTTCAGTATCTGTCTATATTTCTGAGATGAGGTATTATGTACACTATTTACATTATTCGGACTATTGTCCTCATCTTTGTCGCCATATTTATCCGATCCTTCAGTATCTGTCTATATTTCTGAGATGAGGTATTATGTACACTATTTACATTATTCGGACTATTGTCCTCATCTTTGTCGCCATATTTATCCGATCCTTCAGTATCTGTCTATATTTCTGAGATGAGGTATTATGTACACTATTTACATTATTCGGACTATTGTCCTCATCTTTGTCGCCATATTTATCGGATCCTTCAGTATCTGTCTATATTTCTGAGATGAGGTATTATGTACACAATTTACATTATTCGGACTATTGTCCTCATCTTTGTCGCCATATTTATCCGATCCTTCAGTATCTGTCTATATTTCTGAGATGAGGTATTATGTACACAATTTACATTATTCGGACTATTGTCCTCATCTTTGTCGCCATATTTATCGGATCCTTCAGTATCTGTCTATATTTATGAGATGAGGTATTATGTACACAATTTACATTATTCGGACTATTGTCCTCATCTTTGTCACCATATTTATCCGATCCTTCAGTATCTGTCTATATTTCTGAGATGAGGTATTATGTACACTATTTACATTATTCGGTCTATTGTCCTCATCTTTGTCGCCATATTTATTCGATCCTTCAGTATCTGTCTATATTTCTGAGATGAGGTATTATGTACACTATTTACATTATTTGGACTATTGCCCTCATCTTTGTCGCCATATTTATCCGATCCTTCAGTATCTGTCTATATTTCTGAGATGAGATATTATGTACACTATTTACATTATTCGGACTATTGTCGTCATATTTGTCGCCATACATTCCTCAAGCAATAAAAGCGGCCATACACTTAGCGTAAATTTTCTTTCATGCCTACAATAACCGTTATTAATTACGCATAGATCGATACAACCATTGAAAATACTGTATAAAATATGTTAGAAGACATAAAATATAAAGAACTGCGATGATGCCCACAGACTTTGCATTTTTAAGACGCCAGCCTCAAGCGAGAAAAGAAACTTTTAGCTTAGAACTTCCTGTTATATGTAGCCATTTCAACTGTAAAATGAAGAAACCTTGCCGATAATCTAGAAATGCATTTCAATTCATGGAGTTTGGGTACCAAAGAAGAAAAATCATCGGAACAATCATCATGAAAATATTTAAAGAAAACGCTGATGGAAGCTACTTTACTACAGTCGGAAAGTGACTTTTTTTTCTGTCACTCTCTCTTACACCTTGTCTCTTTCTCCTTTTCTCTTTCTCTCTCTCTCTTTCTATTTTTCTTTTTCTCACTCTTTCTTTCTATTCCTCGTTCTCTTTCTCTATCTCTCTTTCTATTTCTAGTTTTCCATTTTTTATTTCACTCTCTCTCTCTCTCTTTCCATTTCTCGTACTCTTCTCTAGTTCACGTTCTCCTTTAATGAAATTCTATTTCTCTCCTTTTCTCTTTCTTTTTTTTTTTTCTCGCTATCTCTTACTCTTTCTCTCTCCCTCTTTCTCTAACTTTTTCACTTTTTTTATTCAAGATACTCATATATGGTGAGCCTTCGCCTATTCGCATGTCAGCGGTTTCACACATTCGCGCCTTTTTCTTTAGACCATATGTACTTGTTATTCGCGAAAGCCTCAAATATTCGCGTGTTTTTCTGAAGAACATCTGTACAAATTATTCGCTGAGAACTCCCTTGATTCACGTATTTTTTCGATAGAACATATTTAAAATTTTCTTGTATCATTTTTCTGTTATTTAAGTGACTTACAATATATAACAGTTCATTTTTATGGTAAAAACTGGCAGAATTGTACATTTTCATTGTAAAAAAAATCAAACGCATGCGTAGAGCTTGGGTTTTGTTCTTTGTTAGGGCTGCGGCTGGGGTCTTAAAGTGGCTTATGCTAAGTCTGAGGGCATCATCACAGTTCTTTATATTTTATGTCTTATAATACATATTTTATACTGTCTTTTCAATGGTTGTATCAATCTATGCGTAATTAAAAACGGTTATTGTACGTATGAAAGAAAATTTACGCTAAATGTATGGTCACCAATACTGTTTTTCAAAAATGTTTTTAAAAGGTTTTGAAATGTTTCTAAAGTGTTTAGGATGAAAGTTTAATACATATGGGGTTTTAAAATCAAAATAGGTACTTATAAGCACTTTTAATGGGGTGGGAGGCGGAGTACAAATATTCGTGGATTTTAACTATTAGTGGATTTGAACTATTCGCGACAGGCTCTGGTCCGTGAACACGGGGCGGGGGGGCTTACTGTACATGTTTTCCTGCTATCTGAAATTAGACTTACTTTTTAATTATTTTATTTTTTTTTTTTAGGCAAATGGAAGCTACTTTACGATAGTGGGAAAGTGACTGAAGTCGAGATGCCAGGTCAGGACCAATTGTAGATTCTTCTTTGTATTTTATTGAGAATTTCTCAATACATTGAAGCAATACCAAACCAGATGTAGCAGCAATATTCAATGCATGGTCGAATGGTGGACTTACAAATGTGTCAGATAGATTCTGGCGTGTAAAAACATATTTAGCAAGACACAGTGAATCTTCTTAGCAGCAGACCTCGCAATTGATTCAATATAATCTTTTCACTTTATGTTAGCAGAAAATGTTAGCCCAAAACCAAGAAGGTGCAATGAGTTGATCTCTGAAAGGTTTATATATATAGTAGCCATTAGTTTTTACCGGATTTGCTCAAAATGCGTGGATGTGCGAATCCCATAAAGGTTATCGCAGAGAAAAAAAAAGTGTGGGCCGGCAGAGTTCAAATTCTGACATCATTAATTTCATTCGATTCGCACTAATACCCTTGGAAAAGGTACGGATCAATCTTTCTTCATATATGGGATTAATAACAGAACAGTCTGGACTCTGCTTTGAAGTGGCAACCAGTTTATCAGAAGGGAATTCTTAACCACTCTATAGAGGGATGTGTTTCGTCAGGCCACTGCAGCCATAACTGCAGTACATGCCCCAGCAACCGTACAACTGTGGATTTATAAGGTAATTGCGAGTTGAAAATATATGAAATAATTTAACTATAAAAACCTCGGATACTTTTCTCATTTTAGATTATTTTGTTCTTTTTTGTTTTGTTTTGTTTTTAATCAGTTTTCATTTTAAGTTTTCTTTTTTATTATTTTTATTTATTTATTTTTTATTTTATTTTTTTTTTTTTTTTTTAGTAAGGAATACACCTACCCAGACATATAAAAACTGGACTTACAGCAACCGGCCTCTTTTTCGCATCATGGTGATGTTGCATTAAAATAAAGAATGGACCAAATGTGCGAAACGAAATTCTCTGGATGACGTAAAATGGGCGGAACTCCGTTTTCATTGGCTGTTTTTCTCAGCTTTTTTTTTTTATCTTGATGGTGAACACGTTCAATGGTATCAAACGGTTCATATTTTATCATCATCATCATCATCATCATACGCATTGTTGTTATTATTATTATTATTATTATTATTATTATTATTATTACACATATTAAATGTGGTGGTGTGGGAGAATTAAAATAAAAGGCCTAGTCTGCCTCTTCTCCACAATCCATGCTAACCAATTTTTTTACCACTTCTGCTATTTTCTCATACAGTTTAGCATCGCGATGTTATGGAGTTAGGAGGAACATAATAAAATAGGAGAGGGAGAAGGGTCGGGGTTTTTTTTGTTTTTTTTTTTTTTTTTTTTTTTAAAAGCAAGAAATCGAAATAAGAATGAGGAAATAGCGAAAAAGTAGAAATTCACAGAAAATTCTGAGAAGTAGCAGAATTCGAACCCGGAACGGAAAACTTAAGGCCGAAAAAGAGGAAAAGGGAGAGAAGGGTACAAAATCGAAACGAGAAAAGAGAGGGATATCGAATGAAATTGAGAAAGAAAGGATGTTAACGAAAATGAGAGAGGAAAATAAAAGTGTGTGAATGAAAGAAACAAAGAGAAAGAAATATCCCCAAGTGAGAGATTTTTTTTTCTTAATTCTTTTTTTTGAGAGATGAGGACAAGATGAACAAAGGTTCATATTTCAATACGCAAGAGGAAGTTAGAAGCATTGAGAGTCATTTTGTTTTTGATGAGGAGATTCTTCATGGGAAGCGAGTGTTAGGAGAGGAAATTCGAATTGAGGAAAGGATGAGAGATGGAGAAGCGAAATATAGGGAATAAAGGAGATTTCTCATAGAAATGGTTTCTATATTTATCAAGGGAAGAGTTGACATGGAAGCGATAGAGATTTAAAGAAGCGGGAGATAGTGAAAAGATCAGAGGTTGGATATAGAGAATGGAAGGTGGAGTTGAAAATGGAAAAGAGTGAGATAGGTAAGGCGTGAAACATCAAAGCATCAAAGCGCTATTTGTACAAAAATAAATTAAACCTTGGAAATCTGGAATTGACAATTTTTTTTATTCATTATTTTTTTTTTTTTATTTGCATTCTCCCCTTTTCGATCTGGCTCCATTAATCCTGACTTTATTCAGTCCTTTGTCCTAAATTCCCTCTCTCATTCGCCTTCCCTTTCATTCTTCCTCTCAGTCGCCTTCCCTTTCTTTATTCTTCTCATTCGCCTTCCCTTTCTTTCTTTCTCTCGTTCACCTTCCCTTTCTTACTTTCCCCCATTTGTCTTCTCTTTATTTATTTTTCTCATTCGCCTTACCTTTCTTTCTTCCTCTCATTCGCCTTCCCTTTTTTATTTATTCTTCCGCCTTCCCTTTCTTTTCAGTCTTCTCATTCATTCTTTTCAAACCTTTTCTTTTTTCTTTATTCTTTCATTCGCCTTCCATTTCTTTCTTCCTCTCAGTCGCCTTCCCTTTCTTTTTATTCTTCTCATTTTATCCTTCCCTTTCTTTTCTTTCTCTCGTTCACCTTCCCTTTCTTACTTTCCCCCATTTGTCTTCTCTTTATTTATTTTTCTCATTCGCCTTTACCTTTCTTTCTTCCTCTCATTCGCCTTCCCTTTCTTTCTTCCTCTCATTCGCCTTCCTTTTCTTTCTTCCTCTCATTTGCCTTTTTTTCTTTCTCTCATTCGCCTTCCATTTCTTTCTTCCTCTCATTCGCCTTCCTTTCCTCTCATTCGCCTTCCTTTCCTCTCATTCGCCTTTTTTCTTTCTCTCATTCACCTTCCCTTTCTTTATTCTTCTCATTCTCCTTACCTTTCTTTCTTCCTCTCATTCGCCTTCCATTTCGTTCTTTGTGTTCTCTCTTTTTCCTTCATTTTCTTCTTTCCCGCTTTTCCTTCTGTTTTATTCTCTCTCTCTCTCTCTCTCTCTTTTGTTCTCTCTTTTCTCATTCTTTTTGTTCTCTCTCGTTTTCATTTTTATTTTCTCACGCTCTCTTCTTTGTGTTCTCTCTTTTCCTTCTTTTTGTTCTCTCAGTCGCTTTTCTTTCTGTTTTATTCTTTCTCTGTCTTTCTTTCTTTTTGTTTCCTCTTTTTCCTTTTTTTCTCTCTCATTTTCTTTCTTTTTATTTCCTCTCTCTCTCTCTCGCTCCCTTCTTTGTGTTCTCTCTTTTTCCTTTTTGTTTTCTCTCGCCTTTCCTTCAGTTTCCTTCTCTCTCTTCTTCTTCTTTTTGTTCTCTCCTTTTCATTCTTTTTGTTCTTTCACCTTTTCCTTCTTTTTATTTTCTCTCTCAGTCTTTTTTGTTCTCTCTTTCCTTCTTTTTGTTCGTACTCGCCTTTCTTTCTGTTTATTCTCTCTCCCCCTTTCCTGCCTTGTGTCCTCTCCTTTTCCTTCTTTTTGTTTTCTCTCTCTAGCTCTCTTCTTGTTCTCTCTTTCCTTCTATTTGTTCTCTCTCTTTCCTTGTTTTTGTTTTCTTACTTCCCTTCTACCTTCTTTTTCCTTCTTCGAGTTCTCTCACACCCTCCCTCTTTTTGTTGTTCTTTCCTTTTTCTCCTTTGTGTTTTCTTTCTCTCTTTCCTTCTCTGTGCTGTCTCTTTTCTTCTTTTTGTTCTCTCTCTTTCTTTCTTTTTCTTCTCTTTCATTCCTTCTTTTTATTTTCTCACTTTCCTTCTTTTTGCTTTCTTTCTCTCATTTCTTCTTTTTATCTTTCTATCTTTCTTTCTTTCTTTTTGTTCTCTTTCCTTCCTTCTTTCATTTCTTTTTGCTTTCTCTCTCTCTATCTTTCTTTCTTCTTTTTGTTCTCTCTCTCTCTCTCTCTCTCTCTCTTTGCTTTTTGTTCTCTTTCATTCCTTCTTTTTGCTCTTTCTCACTTACCTTATTTTGGCTCTCTACCTTTCCTTATTTGCGTTCTCTCTCTCTCTCTCGCTCTCTTTCTCTCTCTCTTCGTTCGACCTCGCTATTTTTAACTTCCTACTGTATTTCCGTCGCTTTATGTCTGGATGCTTTGATAAGGACGTACATATGTAGGCTATGCGCCTGCCATAGAGAAATGGTTACTAAGTTCATCTCGCAAGCTGTTACAAGCGAACACAGGAATTAACGATTGAAAGTCTGTACTGCGAAAGTGTTTTTTGCATTAAATGCAAACTGTGTTCTACAATATAACGGTGATTAAACGTTTCATTTGACGCCTAAACACGTAAATAGCTGTTTATATAATTTGTGATATCACAGGTAGGATTTATTAAAGAGATCGAAACTATCATTCAGTCTACTGATTAGATTTGGTTTGTTTTGTTTTACGGCTTATCAACCTCAATGGGTTATTCAATGCCAACAAGATTTTTATTGCTGGTAATTTTTATTTTTTTTTCAAAAATGTATTGCTGATAATATTTTCTTTCAAAAATGTATTGCTGGTAATATATTTTTTCCAAAATCTATTGTTAGTAATATTTTTTAAACGTATTGCTGGTAATATTTTTCTTTTTCCAAAATTTTTACTTTTCCAAAAAATTTATTGCTTAATATTAAAAATATGTATAAAATATTTTTTAAAAAAAATGTATTGCTGGTAATATTATTTTTTCAACGTATTGCTGGTAATATTTTTTTCAAAAATGTATTGCTGGTAATATTATTTTTTAAACGTATTGCTGGTAATATTTTTTTCAAAAATGTATTGCTGGTAATATTATTTTTTCAACGTATTGCTGGTAATATTTTTTTTTTTAAAAATTTTTTGGTAATATTATTTTTCAACGTATTACTGATATTTTTTCAAAATGTATTGCTGGTAATATTATTTTTAAAAATGTATTACTGGTAATATTTTTTTCAAAAATGTATTGCTGGTAAATTTTTTTTTTTTCAAAAATGTATTGCTGGTAATATTTTTTTTCGAAAATGTATTGCTGGTAATATATTTTTTTATCGTATTTCTGGTAATATTTTTCTTTTTCAAAAATGTATTGCTGGTGATATATTTTTTCAAAAATTGTGTTGCTAGTAATATTTTTTTCGAAAATTGTATTGCTGGTAAAAATTTTCCAAAAAGTATTGCTGGTATTAAAATCTATTTTTTATACTTGCATAGTGTTTTGACCCCTTCTGCGGGGTTTAACTATTGGCCCATAACTGGGACCCTGGCAGGTGCTACCACCCCGAGTCAGGATGGACCTGGAAACATCAGCAATTAAAAGGTATTTCCACGCTCCTCAAAACCTTCTGATCAAAGGCCTTGCTGGCGCATGTAGTTTATCGTCATACCCAGGACGGTCTTCTGATTACATTGATACTGGAACATCAATTATTAAAAGCTTATATAGAAATCCATTGAGGTTTATTTTCTATAGAAATGTATTAAGTTAAAAATTCCTCTGTTCCGCTAGTTCACGGCTAGGACCCGCCATGACACTCACATTGTAGTAAACCACACCCATTCTCTTCGTTTTTTTTATTGATGAAAAGTGAGACCTAGTCGAGAAGCTTCTTCCCGAGAATCATTACTCTGTGGAATCGACTCGAATGAAGATGTTTTAACCCTCTACGTTGAGTGACTCCCAAGCCTTGTACAGGGCGAATCTCACTATATAAAAAAAAAAAGAAACCTTTACATTTTTCCGCATTAAATTTTTCTAACGACAGAAATAAAACTTCATGTTTAAGCACCTAAATGTTATTTTGTATAATCATTAGAATGGAAAAAAAAGCTTGATGCGTTTTAAATGCAATCTGTGATTGCAGGAATTACATAAGAAATAAATATAAACCCTTGTACAATTTAATTGAAATAAAACGAATAACTCCGTTATTATTAACTTCTTTTTTCTTTTCTTTTTTTTCGTATTTTTCCAATGAAACATGCCCCAGTACACATGTTAGTAATTAGTATGTCCATTCCATGAAGTCGTTGCTAGCGAAACGACCACAGATTCTCGATTGGATTTAAATCAGGAGAGTATCCGGGCCAGTCGATAGTACTTTGATTTTCCCACTAGTAAAGTTTGCCAGTGTTTTCGTGTAGCGTTACAATTCTCGAATGCTTCCTTGGGGTAACATCCATCGCAGACAATAGCCGTAAGACAACTAATCGACAGTCGAGACAATAGTGTCTGGGCGTGATAAAAATCTGATGCAATCACGGTTGACGTAATATTTTTCAAGGCCAAACAATTTTCATCATACACCCGAAAATAGATTCATATTACTGCACACCACTGCAAATGACCTAATCTGAGGTAAAAATAGATATCGATTACACACTGCCACTCAAATGGGTTTAAAACTGACCGTATGGTGAAATAAACGAAGCTAAAGTGGTTGTTTCAATTAATTTGCACAAGGGTGTATCTTCAGTAATGTAAAACACGATGTTAGTTTTTATATTTATCGGTCACACAATCTGATCTCCCCTGTATATTAATAGGATACTTCGTCATGGTAACACGACACTACTATCAAAGCTTGCTTTTCTTTCTTTCTAATATATATTTTGTTTGGTTTAATGTTTAGGAAGCACTTAATATATATATTTTTTTTTAAATTTAAAGGAATTTTTTGTTATTTCATTAATGCATTTCCACAGCGAATACAGCCATCATAGGTAAATTAGTACGTTTCTTAACGTCATATCCCGAGACCCGCAACCCACTACGGTCACGCGGGCACTATATTTGGCTGCAACCATAGCTACATTTGTGTGTCTAGGCAATAATAGACTGAAAGAGCCTATCCCTCTTCAGGTTGATTTTAAATTTAGAATTTCCCTGGTTGCCATCCAATGTAAGAGATCTCAATTCATTCTGCTAAAAAGTGATGGATTTGCGTTCCCTTGTATTTGTTGGAACTCAGCCGGAATTTGAACTCGGCTCGCCGATTTCTCTTACAGAGTCGCTAACCGTTACATTAGCTTTGATAATATTTCTACCTCCGCCCCAAATCCTCATTATTTTATGTATGTTATGTTTTGCCTATCTCTCTCCGTGGCAGTAGTCGTAGTACAGTTCTCCGTGTTCTGAATAACAACCGGGTTTGCTAGGTATAGCTGTCCCCTATGTTCGCCAATTGTTCTCTATTTATACTTGTCTATCTAATTCGGATACGATACTACAATATATAATGCCAAAAGATATAATATTTTATAAAGATAATGCTTATTGGATTTATGAACAATGAAAATTCAAGATCTTAATAAAACTAGACACAAAATACTACTCACCAAATCAAAGGTTAAGACAATTAAAAAGAATTTATCTAAACTTAATACAAAATCTGTTGCAACTACTTCTATCATAATAAGAAATTTAGTTAATATAAAACAAAATAATAGCATCCTTAAACGAGAAGCAAGAACCCAGTTGACTATAAGCATCATCAGGTCCAGAATTCTTCTCGGATTCTCCCGACTCGTTCCTTCCAACCATCTCTGTCAGACATCGCTGTCAGCAGGTCCCCCCAGACGGCATCCAGAGTCATATACAGGTTGGTCAATGTAAGTGTGATGTGGTCTTCCCCAACCGATCTTTTGCCGCGCAATGGGCTCCCTAGGAGGGCGTCACTCACAAGTTCTGACTTACTTCTCCAGGAGTGACCAGCTAGCCGAAGCCTTCTCTCTCTCTTAGCGAAACTGAGATAGGAGAAAGGTGTCCATAGCGTCGTTTCTTTGTTGGGTATTTCTTCCAGCTGATGTCCAATGCAACTCGTAACATCGTTGTCTATGTTCCGTCAAGTGATGCTTCTTGGTGTTTCGTCAGTGTCCATATTGTTGAGCCATAGAGCAAGACAGATTCTTTCTGTGGCCTTAAAGAAAGCCCTCTTAAGATTGTCAGAGAGAGAGAGGACTTCCAGATGGTGATCAAACCATCAAAGACTATAATAAAAGTCACAAAAATACATTGAAACTTCTAGGAATTAAAATAAAATATTATATGAACACTATAATGACCTTTTACAAAACAATACACTTAGTGCATTAATCATACATCCTCTGACCATAATTTCGATTTGAATGCAATTTTAATTAAAAGTAAAAGTAATTTATTAAGGCGAAAATTTATAGAAAGTGCAGTCATTTTTTAATCTTACTGGGTAAATTTACGCCAAGGTTCATACAGCATTTCACCTTTCTTAACAAAACTACTACTATTACAATCAAGGGTATTTAAAAACGTCCATTAGTGTAACATCAATTAGAAAAAATAACGATATTATTTATATTTGGATAAATTATGCAATTATTCACATATAAAACGCAATTATTCACATATAAAACGCAATGTGCATCTATGTTTTCTCTTTTCACGGAGTGCAATTTTATTTGCTTAAAACAACTAAGAAACGCATTGTTTTGAATGTTTTAAATTTGGTTTTAGTCTAGTCAAAAAAATAAAGGGAAAAGTTTAAACTAAACTAATAAATAAATATTGTTCACATTTTTTACATTATTCGGACTATTGTCCTCATCTTTGTCGCCATATTTATCACGTTTCGGCCGTTGTACGTTCCGGCCTTCTTCAGGTGGTTGGAATTTCGAACTGGACCCTTTATTTCGCTCACTAGGGTAGACTGTTCTAGTTCCACGTGCCATGTTTGATGGATGTCAGTTATCAGTTATATCCTGTTAATTCCCCTCTGAAAGTTCTCCAACGAAACGTTGTGATAAATATGGCAACAAAGATGAGGACAATAGTCCGAATAATATAAATAATGTACATAATACCTCATCTCAGAAATATAGACAGACTCTGAAATATTGTTCAATATTTTTGTTGCAAAGCCTCAAGAACAAAGAAAATGCATGAATTCATTTTCATCATACGTTTAGGTTTTATTACATTTCTAATCATCGCTTTTTAAAACGATAAACATTGACGAGGATTGAAGGTATTTAAAATAATAGCGGTGTCAAGGGAAAAACCGCCTTTTTTGTTTTGTACGAAAGTCCCAGTTTGCCGAAAGAAAGTAC